GAAATGCGTGCACACGGGCACGCAAACCGAGGCAATGGTATACGCAATGCAATAAGGCTAAAATGGCATTTAGAATGCAACATGGACTTATACTAACATGACAGAGCCTCAGCCACACTCACATAAGAGGCCGATGGATGAAAATGAAGTGCCTCGAAATGTGTGCACACGGGCACGCAAATCGAGGCAATGCAAAAATGCGAACTATGGGATGGGAAATGGTATGCAAGCATGGTAATAGAATTTAAGCACTGAAATGTGGGGGAAAACAGCCCCGAAATGAGGCGAAAACACACCCGATGCGAGGAATGGTCTCGAAACATGAATTTTGGGACCCGAAATGGCCTATGGCTATACCAAACATGCACAATATGGATATGCAATGAATAGAAAGTAGCAAGGCAGCCCCAAAATTAGCATTTTACCAGCACAAAACATGGCCAAACAGCAAGCAAAGATAGGGCAACAATGGCATGCAAAAATGGTCTTAAACATGAGATTGTGAAGCAACTCATAGCTGCTAATTCCAAACAGGTTAGGGCCCTTCAACAACATTGAATAGGGGCCAAAAATAAGCATATTTCCAGAACTGTAAAAACCTTAAAAACAATCATAGACAAGGCTAAGTTCTTATGCAAGAAAAAGGGCCAAAAGGTGGCCAAAGAGGCAAGTGGTATATGCAATGCCCAAACTGAAAAATTCCCTTCTACAACATTGAAGAGGGACCAAAAATAAGCATATTTCCAGAACTGTAAAAACCCAAAAACAGAATAAAAACATGCTATAAATGCAATGCAAAATGAGGCTCAAAAAGAGGCTATAACATGAAGTATACAAAATATTCCACAAATGGCCAAAGACCCTTAATGAAACATGTTAAGAAGGTCAAAATAAGGCCATATCTAGGCTTGTAAATCGTCCAAAAACAGAAGCATGATAGGCTGCCAAAGCATGCAAAAATGGGGACCAAAAGAGAGATATAACATGAAGTGACATATGGAGGTCCCAAACAGTGATGAGCCCTTCTTCAATGTTGAAGAGGGGCTCAAAATAAGCCTATTTACAGAACTGTAAAACGCCCAAAAATGGAAGCATAATGGGTTGCCAAAGCATGCAAGAAAATTGACATACAAGGGGATATTGAAGCAAGTGCAATATGGGGGCCTCAAACAGGGTTGAGCCCTTAATGATTATTTTGTTTAGATATTTAATTTTGCATAATTTCAGCTTTGATCTTGGTGTTTGGGTCCAGCTCCTATTGTATTTGTTTGAACCATCATTCAACTACATCAAACTCTTTGGTATACAAAACAGTGTTATTCCTTTGGTATATAAAATTAAAGAAGAAATGAATTTTATCTTGGATTTGTTGAATTGAGTTGAGATGCAAAATTATTGGTAAATTGCCACACGATCTAGTCTCTTTCACAAGAATTGTCTATTATCTTGGAAGATTAGTTTATTTCTTGTTAATTGTGGTGACTCAGTACACCATTTGTTCTTACTTATTCATACAATCCTAAGAGAATATGGTTTTGGTTTTGAAGTTCAGCCTCCTCTTAGCTATATGTAATTTAGCAAATTTATGTTGGACTTCTCTTTTAGTCCTATATTATAGCTCATTTTATGGCTTAAAAAGACATAGAAAAGGAGGGAGTATAAGAAGTATCTGTGGGGTGTATTTTAACCAAATGCATATCAGAGAATAAGTATGGTACAGGATACTTGACAACTGTTAAGTTGGTTCAGAGAGCATTCATTTTCACATCATGTTTTTTAGGTCCTAGCTGAAGTTAAGCCACACAAAAGCAGACAAGAGGTTCCATATATGTGCATGGTCAATGGGGTATTAGTGAAGATGGCGTTTTAAAAGTTTTTTCAAGTCACATCTCTTGCTTCACATTTGGGAAATTAACAAAAAATTAATCAAAACTATTCCATTACAATGCCATGATTTAAAAGCTCTGTTAACTTCTTTCACAACTTGTTTTTTATTACTATATATGCATCTGTGCTATTTTCAAATAAATAGCAACTTGTTTCACAACTTGTTTTTTCAAATAAATTTGTGTTAAATTGAGACAAAAGATTTCATCTCATTGTTCATTTAAGGCATGTAACTGCTATCAATGACAGTGACAGTGTAATGCCATGTACTTACTATTTGTCTTTTGGTTGGATGATCGATGTAAGAATTTCATAATTGTTTTCACAATCAGTGATAGTGTATTTGTTCTTGTTCTTGAACTAGGACAACCTATGTTCATAGAAAATGAGTGTTTGCTGTTAATCTACTTTTGTGGTGGTTACATGCCAATTCCATATACAATTTATACAAGAAATCATTTGATTTTTTTTTTCCAATTTCAAGGAAGCTGTGAGCTGTCAGTATTGCAAAGTTAAATTCCTTTTTGGTTTATGCTCTTAGGGATATTTTTTTTTCCGTTGGTTTATGCTCTCGGATTTGGATTACCTTTATCATACTATGGATTTTTTGCATCTAGTCTGTTGGGGCACCATATTCTTGTGATATCAGCTACGAACCGTTTCTTGGGCCTGAGGTTTGTTCCTATTTTCTTTTCAATTTTTGCTTTTTTTGAACATCACAATGTATGTTAGTGAAATGATGACTCCAACACATCTCCGAATCTGATAAACAAACAGAGAAAACCGAGTCTGGTTCGCAAACCGAGGCAAGGCACAGAAGAGGGTTCGGAAGTCCGGAGGCAGGGCTCGCAGCCGTGACTCTGAGACTTCTGAACAAGCACAACATGAAATATCACCGAGTGCTCAACTGGTGGCGTCTGAGTTTCAAGGTCGGTCAAAAATGGGGTGTCTACACCTAGTTTAAATGAGAAGTGAAAATACATTCCACATGATTCTCATGACTTTGCTTGTTCATTTACCTTCTGATTGAAAGATCTTGCCATCCTCATGGGTACTTCAGTTATAGTGGGCAGTCCCTCTTCTTGATTATTTATGAGCAAATAAAGATATGTTGACTATATTTACAATTGCGAGCTTATAGGGGGCAGTCCCTCTTCTTGATTATTTATGAGCAAATGAAGATATGCTGACTATATATACTTTAGCTATAATAGTCAGCTTGATCTTCATCCATAACAAATGATGGGTATGTATGCAGATTATTAGCCCATAAGAAGCTGGATCATAAGAAGCTGGATCATCTCGTAAGAATGGGGCAAATGGATATATTATGAGAATGACTTTGTTTTGGATATATTTGTTGAGATCGGAATGGGGCAAATGGATCATTATGAGAATGACTTTGAAGTAGATATGCTGAAAGTTACCGCGGATTATTATTCTCGAAAGGCTTCAAACTGGATCTTAGAAGATTCCTGTCCAGATTATATGTTGAAAGTAAACATCTATTCATTTTCTTTTTTTCTTGTTAAGGTCAGATATATTTGTTTGATAATCCTATATAATTTCTAAAAAATCCTTTTGTAACTCTTGGCTGAGGAGTGTTTGAAACAAGAGAAGGATAGGGTTGCTCATTACCTACATTCTAGTAGCGAGCTGAAGTTGCTTGAGGTTTGTTCTTCCTCTTGTGAAGTCATACTAAATTTCTTTCCACCTAATAATAATTAGTCTTTTAATGGTTACTTCTTTTTTATTTATTTATTTATTTTGAGGCCAATTTTGAAGATATGCACTTTCGCTGTTATAATTATGGGTAATTTTGTCTTCCTATAGAAAGTTCAACATGAATTGTTGTTCGTTTATGCAACCCAATTGCTTGAGAAGGAGCACTCTGGATGTCATGCATTGCTTAGGGATGACAAGGTAGTCATTTGGACCATTTTTTTTTATCAGACTTGGACAGTGTTATTATTCAAGCCTTCTTGCTGTTATTTCAGTTGCAATTAACTAAAGTTTATTGACATTTTTTTCCTATTCTCTTGTAGGTAGAGGATTTATCAAGGATGTATAGGCTCTTTTCCAAAATACCTTGAGGTTTAGATCCGGTTTCTAGTATATTTAAACAGGTTTTGGTCTTTAACTTGCAGTACATTGTTCTGTAAAGAATGTAGCATTGTGCCTCTGGTATTATTTGTTTCTTCCCCTTGTTTATTTTGAAGTTTGGCTGGGTTTTTCTTTATGCAGCATGTTACTGCTGAAGGTACAGCATTGGTTAAACAAGCGGAAGATGCAGCCAGCAATAAGAAGGTGATGTAATCTTGATTGTGTTATTTCAGATCCCATAGTCTTTGTGCAATTTGTCTTCTGAGGAGGTGCATTTCACAAGGCTCATGATTGATCTGCCATTACATTGGATTTGGTTAACAAGTTATATACTCTTTTTTTTTCTTTTTTTTTTGCTGAAGGAAATTAAATTTGGATTTTAATTAAATGAATGGCAATGTACAAAATTTAGCACTACATTTGACTTTGGGGGTACAAATAATTGTTTGATGTGGTGGCATCATTGACCAAGGTTGTTCACTTAAAATTTTTCTTTCTTTCCTTTTTTTATTTTATTTCCCCTTTTCTGGGTGGAAAGAACATATCTACTCTTGTATATGTCTTAGTGATAATCTTTTCTAATTTTATTTCTGGTTCTAATGCTAAGAAGTGTCCTGGTACAGGCAGATAAGAAAGATGTGGTTGGTCTGCAGGAACAGGTAATGTCAGATTCTTATAGTACTTCACTTCTAGGATTTGTCAATGGATTCTTGGTATGGGAACTGACTAACTTGTGGGGCCTTCAGGTTTTTGTTAGAAAATTTATCGAGCTTCATGACAAGTACATGGCGTATGTAAATAACCGTTTTATGAACCATACTCTTTTCCACAAGGTTTGTATTAAACAATTGCTGCATAGTCGTGGTTTCCTTCCTATTATTCATGTATTAAAATCTCCTTTGTTTGCCTTAGGCACTCAAAGAGGCTTTTGAAGTCTTCTGTAACAAAGGTGTTGGTGGAAGCTCGAGTGCAGAACTACTAGCCACATTTTGTGATAATATTCTTAAGAAAGGTGGGAGTGAGAAATTGAGTGATGAAGCCATTGAGGAAACACTTGAGAAGGTATGCTTCTATCTTTCATAGCATTTGGTTTGACTTATTGTTGAGAATGAGATACAAACAGTTGCAATTGGATTTCTTTTTATTCTACAGGTAGTAAAGCTCCTTGCTTATATTAGTGATAAGGATCTGTTCGCTGAATTCTACCGGTAATTTTATTTAATTTTTTGTTATTTTTCAAGTGATTGCAGAATATTGTGATTCGATGATTCATGGATACTTATTTTTTGTTGCAATGACTGGCAGAAAAAAGCTTGCTTGACGCTTACTTTTTGACAAGAGTGCCAATGATGAGCATGAGAGAAGTATCCTGACAAAGCTAAAGCAGTAGTGTGGTGGTCAGTTCACATCAAAGATGGAGGGAATGGTGAGTTGTCTACAGCCTGTATTAATTTGCAAGCCATGCTTTAATGTAGTTTTGGGATACTGGCAGAAATAATTGTTTTCTTGCTTTGCTGTTTTCCAGGTCACAGATTTGACTTTGGCAAGGAAAAATCAAACTAACTTTGAAAAGTACCTCAAAACCAATCCAGATGCAAGTCCTGGGATTGACCTGACTGTTACTGTCCTAACTACTGGCTTTTGGCTTGGTTACAAGTCTTTTGACCTCAACCTCCCAGCAGAAATGGTAATGCTTGTAGATTTTTATTCGCACATAGATTGAAATTTTGAAATTGTTTCTTTTAATGTGAATTTATGTCATATGATGTGTTTCTGAACATTCCCACTGACGTCATTCTATTTATTCACTTCTGCTCTAGGTTAAGTGTGTGGAAGTTTTCACAGAATTCTATCAAACAAAAACAAAACACAGAAAACTTACATGGATTTATTCATTGGTACTTGTAACCTCAATGGAAAATTTGAACCCAAAACTATGGAGCTTATTGTGACAACCTACCATGTATTTTGTTGAAGAAACTTATTTTAATCTAATGCATGGATTTATGATTCTTAACGTAGAGGTTTGAGCTTTAGCATTTCATCCATACAGGATTCTGTGCTGCTGCTTTTTAATGCCTCAGACAGATTGAGTTACAGGAAATCATGGCTCAATTAAACTTGACAGATGATGATGTTGTTAGGCTGCTTCATTCTTTTTCATGTGCAAAGTATAAGATTCTTAACAAAGAACCAAACAACAAAACAATCTCTCCAACGGATCCATATTAGTGTGCTTTCTATTCCTTTTTAATTTTTTTGGGGAAATTACACTTCTTGACCATTTTGATTTTAATTGATGTATTTAAGATCTGAATTGTTTCTATTCTTAGGTATGCAATGCATTGTTTTTTATTTTTAATTTTGTTTTCAAGCTTAGTTTATTTATTATTTTAATAAACATCAATTTTAGTTCTTGATAATTATTTTTCAGGTATTTTTTTTGTTCAACCATATTAAATTAGCACAATGTAAAAATTAAAAAAAAAGGCTATGGCGGCGTTTAAAAAACGTCCCTATATCCTACTCCAACGGCTAGATTTTAAAATGTATAAATGTCTATGATGGCATTTTCAAAAACGTCGCTAAATGTCCATAGTGACGTCATAATACAGCTAGGTAGGACATTTGGCGGCGTTTTTAAAATATAACGACATTTTTCAAACGCCATAAAGTTATAGCGACGGCCGCGTCGTCGACGTTTCGTACTAAACGTCACAAAAAGAATTAGTGACGTGTTTAGTGCTTTTAGCGGAGTTTTTTAAACGCCGTTAAAAGTGGATTTTCCAGCAGTGTCTCTCTCTCTCTCTCTTTTATTTTCCTTTTTCTTATGTCTATTTTTCTGACTTATCCTCAAATAACAAGGTCCTATTGTGAATGAAACCAAAAAAAACCCTTGAACTAAAAGCCCAACAAACAAGGTCTCAATCTTGAGGGACCAAGACATTCCAACAGTGGTACTTGAGCTGGGAGCAGGGCCTAGGTACTCCACTCGGACGAGTCTTAAAGAGAGACTTTGACCAAGAAGTATGTGCAAATTATGATACGCTAACTAACTAGTAAACCACCAGATATGTTTAACTCCAACACAAGTGTGTCTGAGTATGTTGTATATAGTAAAAATTTTGAACATGATGTGCCTAAAATATTAATTCAATAGCCATCACTAACCTCTGTTTGGAATTCTTTTGCTCCTTGCTTGGAATCAGTTGCAAGCACTTTAACAGCAATTGTCTCACTAGTTAACATCTGAGCTTTATAAACTGGACCAAATGCCCCTTGACCAATCAATGTGGTAAAATTATAGGTTGCTTTTGCAAATCCTTGATTTGTTAGCAACAGAAACAAGTTAAGAACTGACAAGGAAAAGAAGAATCTAACAAATAAACATGACCACCAAAAAAAATAAAACTAAAGAATATATATATATATATATATGTAGATGTATAAACTACTTGGTGCAGGCAGATTGTTGTAGTATTAAGTAATCTGATATTCATTTTGTAGAGCCTATTAAGTAATCTGATATTCATAACCATATGATCATATCATATCTTTAAAAAAACTTAACGACAAATATGAAAAAAAATGGATGTTCTAGTATTTACAATCTTTGAACATTTTTCAATAGGTTGGTAGTTCTGTTTTGGATTCTTCTTGAGGTGACCCTTAAGATAGCCCCAAAGGGCCCAAAATGATCTGAAACACCACTTGCCATTGGGAAGCAAAGACAGAATGGGGAATAGGTTCTACATTGGGCTTGTTTGGTGCACCTTTATCAAGTTAAAATTAATAATAAAAAGATAGAAGTAAAAATATGTTTCTCCTAACTTTTAAACAATAAATTTTTTCAACTTATTTAAATTATTTTTAGTTTATAAGATATAAGAAAAGAAGAATATATATCAAACACTTTAATGCAAAATTTTAATATATATATATATATAAGCAACTCTATAAGCTACCAAACATGACCACTCTACTTCACAGAGAT